CAGCTCTGCCCCAGGTGTCCCCAATTCAGCTGCTGCTGAAACTGACCAGCAGCGGCTGAATCAGGGATGCCTGGGGCAGAGCCGGACTATCGGAAGGGGGGGCTATGAGGGGTCTGGGGTTGCATCCCTGCACCCCCCCCTTCCGATAGTCTGGAATATTTGATAATCCAGCACACCCTAGGTTCTAAAGTTTACTATCAGAAGTTTACTGTAATTTGAAAAGATAGATGGTTGAGACACTTGCAGTGGATAAAAATAGACTCTTGACATATGGGGCAGAGCCGGACTATCGGAAGGGGGGGCTATGAGGGGTCTGGGGTTGCATCCCTGCACCCCCCCCTTCCGATAGTCTGGAATATTTGATAATCCAGCACACCCTAGGTTCTAAAGTTTACTATCAGAAGTTTACTGTAATTTGAAAAGATAGATGGTTGAGACACTTGCAGTGGATAAAAATAGACTCTTGACATATGTACCAATGAGTACTTAGTACACATGCTCAGAATGTGTTTGGATAGTTGGTGTAAAAACCATTTACTCCCTGTCTTGCCAGCACCTTCAGCTGATGTGCACTGAGCAGCCATTGTCAGCAGCTGCAAGAAGAAAAACACGGCACTGTGCTCCTGCCTAGAAGCACTTTACTTTTTAGAATGGCAGGGAGGGGTGAGGAGAGACATGGGTCCATTCAGACTTCTGGAGACAGATGCAACTCCATTAGTTGTGTGGCTACTTAGCTCTGCCTTTCCGTAGCCCACAGGTCTTCTGTGTTTCATGTTGTTTCTTCCTTGTTCTAGACTCTCTCACCACACGCATCCTTAGCAGGTGTTTGTGTCTTGTTAGTCCCAGTTAATCCCTTCAAGTTCAAAGAGGCAGCGTTAAAGGATCCATTTCCTTTCTTGATCCCTACTGAATGCTAGTTTTCTGAACATTTTAATTTCTTAAATATGTCTATTTTCAGAATCGTGCTGAGTCCAACAGCCCCTGTTTGAGGTGGAAAGGGGCTGCTGGACTCCACGTGAGCTGGGACCAAGCCGTCCTGACTTGGGCTGATCGCTGCACCTCTGCATTTTTAATGTAGTAAGAGCCCAGTGACTCTTACTACATTTAAAATGCAGAGCAGCAGCGCAGGTGGCTCCCGAGCTGGCTCCTAGAGCTACCTCTGCTGTGGCTCTGCACAGCAGTGCTTATCGACTAATCATATAGTCGATACAAATTGTTCGGACTATACAATTAGACAGATAATCGAATTTTAACATCCTTAATAAGAACTACATTATATTATGAGAATCAGGACAGGTAATCATAGAATAATAGGACTGGAAGGGACCTCAAGAGGTCATCGAGTCCAGCCCCCCGCTCTCAAGGCAGGACCACGCTCCACCTACACCATCCCTGACAGATGTCTATCTAACCTGTTCTTAAATATCTCCAGAGAGGGAGATTCCACCACCTCCCTTGGCAGTTTATTCCAATATTTGACCACCCTGACAGTTAGGAATTTTTTCCTAATGTCCAATCTAAACCTCCCCTGCTGCACTTTAAGCCCATTACTCCTTGTCCTGTCCTCAGAAACCAAGAGGAACAAATTTTCGCCTTCCTCCTTGTGACACCCTTTTAGATATTTGAAAACCACTATCATGTCCCCCCTTAATCTTCGTTTTTCCAAACTAAACAAGCCCAGTTCATGAAGCCTGGCTTCATAGGTCATGCTCTCTAGACCTTTAATCATTCTTGTCGCTCTTCTCTGTACCCTTTCCAATTTCTCCACATCTTTCTTGAAATGTGGCACCCAGAACTGGACACAGTACTCCAGCTGAGGCCTAACTAGTACAGAGTAGAGCGGCAGAATGACTTCACGAGTTTTGCTTACAACACACCTGTTGATACAACCTAGAATCATATTTGCTTTTTTTGCAACAGCATCACACTGTTGACTCATATTCAACTTGTGGTCCACTATGACCCCTAGATCCCTTTCCGCCATGCTCCTTCCTAGACAGTCGCTTCCCATCTTGTATGTATGGAACTGATTGTTCCTTCCTAAGTGGAGCACTCTGCATTTCTCCTTATTAAACCTCATCCTGTTTACCTCTGACCATTTCTCTAACTTGCTAAGGTCATTTTGAATTATGTCCCTATCCTCCAAAGAAGTTGCAACCCCACCCAGTTTGGTATCATCCGCAAACTTAATAAGCGTACTCTCTATCCCAATATCTACATCATTGATGAAGATATTGAACAGTACGGGTCCCAAAACAGACCCTTGAGGAACTCCACTTGTTATCCCTTTCCAGCAGCCTCTATCCCAATATCTACATCAAATGTACCGCTTCCTTCACGCAGATAACACCCAGCTTCTCTTTAGGATACGTATGCAGTGAGGTATTTTGATTAGAATGTGTCACTTCCAAGAGATCTCACAGTTGTCCCTTTTTCTTTCCAGGCAAAGTTTGAAAAAGATCTGAAGCGCATCTGGAGGAAAGCTGGGTTGAAAAAGCCTTCTGAGGGATGGCAGCTGCCCAAGATCTTTGTGAGAACTAAGTGACTGGAACACGTTGATTGTGTTTTGGCTTTGAATTGTAATTAAAGGATATTTAAAATAAATCCAAGTTCTTTTAACTTTGTTCTGAATTATAGGACCAGGGGTGTGTAGATATTTAAAAGCTGGCTGAGGAGATCTTTCCAAGCCCAGTGGAACAGGCCCAGAGCAGTATTGGCTATTGAAAAAGAGGGCCATTTGCAGAAAAAAGCACATGGGCATAGTAACTAAAAATGACCCAAGTTAAATCCATTAGTGCTGCGTTTCTCAAACTGTGGGTCCTGACCCCCCGGGGGGGTCATGGGCAACTTAGAAAGGGGAGGGGGGCGCTGTATCACAAAGTTTGAGACTCCCTGCATTAGTGGGTTCATTAGCTCAAGTCAGGCCTCTGTCTCCTAGTGCCTGCCCCTCCATGTTGCTTCATGGAGAAGAGATAGGAATAGAGCAAGTAAGGTTCTGAATTAAATGACCCAGGCCATAGGGCTTGCCAGTTCTGAAGAATATGATATGATAGCAGTTTTTAGGTATCTAAAAGGGAGTCATAAGGAGGAAGGAGAAAACTTGTTCATCTTGGCCTCTGGGGATAGAACAAGAAGCAACGGGCTTAAACTGCAGCAAGGGAGGTTTGGGTTGGACATTAGGAAAAAGTTCCTAACTGTCAGGGTGGTTAAACACTGGAATAAATTGCCCAGGGAGGTTGTGGAATCCCCATCTCTGGAGATATTTAAGAGTAGGTTAGATAAATGTCTATCAGGGATGGTCTAGTCAGTATTTGGTTCTGCCATGAGGGCAGGGGACTAGACTCGATGACCTCTCGAGGTCCCTTCCAGTCCTAGGACTCTATGAATATTCTCATGGTAGGAACTCCAGTCAAAGCCTCATTAGGACCAGCTTGGTGTGAGGGACCAAGATCAAGGCTGATCCAGCTGACTTCAGTTCTGTTAGTGCAAGACAGAAATGGTCCTGCACACAGATCAGGGCCTTTGCATAGTGGTAAAAAATCCTTAAAGTTTAACCACCCAAACATATGGGCTGTGTCTAGATCGGCAAGTTTTTCCGCAAAAGCAAAAACTTGCCAGCTGTCTACACTGGCCGCTTGAATTTCCGCAAGAACACTGACGATCTCATGTAAGAAATCAGTGCTTCTTGCGGAAATACTATGCTGCTCCCGTTCGGGCAAAAGTCCTTTTGCGCAAAAGCTTTTGTGCAAAAGGGCCAGTGTAGACAGCTCAGATTTGTTTTGCGCAAAAAAGCCCCGATCGCAAAAATGGCGATCGGGGCTTTTTTTCGGAAAAGCGCGTCTAGATTGGCACGGATGCTTTTCCGCAATAAGTGCTTTTGCGGAAAAGCGTCCGTGCCAATCTAGACACTCTTTTCCGCAAATGCTTTTAACGGGAAACTTTTCCGTTAAAAGCATTTGCGGAAAATCATGCCAGTCTAGACGGAGCCATGCTGTCCAGGCCCAAGAGGGGTTATACGTGTGGGAGAGGCTTTGTTTAGTAGTAGTCCTAGTGTGGCAAGAGGGAAAAGTTCCCTGCTGTACCAGTGGCCTCTGTGTGTGAGGGACTGACTGCGCTTCATACTGGTGCAGAAGACAGGGTCATGTGACCAGCATGCCTCAGATGTTCCTGCAGGAGGAAGCTCTCGGTTGGTGGCATACTGGCCTTTACATACCTGGGAGGCCATGTCCCTCAAAGGTGCTGTTTAATGTCTCATTGTCTTCATAAGTCTCAGTAGAGGATGCCTGCTGCTTGCTTCTCAAGACAGGCTGCAAACAGCAACAATTCTCTAGCAGAGTTGGGGCAAGGGTGGAAGTTGCATGTAACCAGTACTAGGAAATACACTTGTTTCACTCATCTGAAGCCTCCACAAACAGCCTCTCCAAGCAAAGGCAGCCAACAGCAGTAGAGAAAAGAAGAGAAGAAGCAACTAAATATCTTTTTGTATTGTCTAAATCATTTTTAGTGGGGTCCAGAATCCCAGTTTTTATTTTTAACCCTGCCTCAACTTGCAGAGGGACACTGGGGCGAGTCACTTCCCCTCTCCACTTCTGTTTTTCCATTGCTACAAGGTAACATTGAGACTTGCTGAGGGGAACTTGGAAGAAATGCCCCATGTGGCCATGTTACTTTGCAATGAACAGTTTATGGGGTCCTGTGCACTTCTGAAGTAACTGGGGCTGGCCACATTTAGAAACTGGATATTGGCTTAGTGGGACTGGAGGTCTGCCTGGGATGTGTGGCAGGGTCAGGCCAGAGAGCTGCTGCAGAAGTGGGGAAAGGCAGTCCAAAAGTGGGGGGGAAACCTGTAATTAGAAGCAGAGGGCTGCAGGACAATTAGGTGCAGCTGGGAGGGAGCTGGCTCAGGCAGATTGGGGCCAGCTGACTCCTCTGCTGGCTGGCTGAAGGCCTTTAAAAGCCTCAGCAGTTGGAAGCTGTGGTGGGTGAGAGGATGGAAGGGATGTGAATAAGAGACAGGGAGCAAAAGGTTAGAGAGAACAATCCTTAACAGCATTAGACAGAAACAGCTAGGGAGGGAGTCCAAGGAGGCATGGCCAGGCCCTCTACCATAGAGACCTGCTGCAAACCCCAAACTCGGGTTGGGAGCAAGAGGCTAGCCCCAGCAGTAGCCTGGGTAAGAGGGGCCTTTGCCACAGATGGTCATTTCTGTTATATCTTTCAGTAGGTCCTCTGCCAATGCAACCAAAAGACAATGCTTCTCTTCTTCCTATCAGTAGATGGCAGTAGAGTCAAGGCCCTGTAAAATGCCTTAGCTGTTGTAGGACCCTGCTGGATACTTTTCCATTTCTTGTATTTTAAAGAATTGGTGTGTGTGTAAAAATCATTAAGCTTGACAGAAACTTTGCTCTCAGGAGAGCTGTGTTACACTGAGGTGACCCCAGTGACACACGCAGGAGTAGAGCATGGCTAAGGCTGGGTTTCCAAACTGTAGTCTCAAGTCTGTTATTAACAGGTGACTTTGATCAAGGCTATAACCTCCCCCCCCACCCTCCCGCTCCCTTGTAAAGCTTTAAAGAAGGCTATGGCTGCAGTTCTCTCTAACCAGCTCAAACAAGGCATTTTTCAACCTATTCCCTCAAGGGAGAGCTGAACCCTCTGTCTTAAAAAGTCCCTGTATGTAAAATGTTGGCTCTAGCCTTCAGGTGCGTGGTTAATATTCAACATGCATTCAGGGGTTGCTAAAAAGTCTTGAATGTTTTACAGTGTAGCTGCCCAAAGGTGCCTTGCAATTGATCCTTTCAGCCTGGCTTCCTCTCTGAGCAGGCACCTGTAGCATTGGCTTATTTGGAATGAGGCCCGTGGGGTGTTTTTCCCCTCTGCTTGTGCTCATTCCTCAGAGCTATGTTCACAGCTCTGGCACTCATGTTCCTGCTGCTTTTGGGACTGGCACTTCGCTGTCTCGCTTAGTGCTTTCCTGTCTGAAAAATTAGTTTGTGTATTTCTAGGGTGCTGGGAGCTGGAGTATGGGGGGTCTGTCTTCACCATTCCAAGCAAAACTCTGGTCCATAAAACGAGCTACTTCCTATGTCTCATTTGCTACTGTGCTGTGTTCTGCTCTTGACAGAATCCTGCGACTCCTGCTTTTATTCCAGAAGCACTGCTGTGCCATCCCAGCTTCCATCCAAAAGGAGGGGACGGGGTTGTAATGGGGATGTGGCTCCAGGTGTGAGCTTCATCTGTCCCTGACAGTCCCTGTGATAGTCTTGGAATGTTTCAAATGGTGCCATGAATGTGGTTGTACTCTGCTTCTCTCTTTTTGTAACTTGGAGGTGAATTTACAGGCACTGGCCATCTTGACCAATTTCCACACTTTACTATTTCAGGATTGGGTTCAGGGCTTGGCGGGTTGTCCTGCTTTCACTCTCACTTGTTATCTACTGAGTGTGCCACGTGAAAGGACATAACCTGCAGAGCTTTGGATAGGAGCAGAGAACAGTGTCTGTCATTGCTGCACTGTGCCTGCAGTAGTCAGTCTGGAAGGCTGTGGAGCACAAAGCCATTCACTGCAGTCATCTCTGGTAGCTTGAAAATGGAGGGAAGGGATGTGTTACTGGATTAGCCCAGCAGCATTAAAGCCTCCTCCTGCTATGACAAATCAGCTGCTAGGAAAGAGAATTCTGAAACACTTGACGTTCCACTTGAAGTGCTGATCTCATGCAATTCTTAGTACTGGGGAAAGGGATCCTAGGGGGTCATAGCACAGCGGTTTTCAAAGTACTGGTTGTGACCCAGCACTGGGTCATGGAATGCCAAGCATTGGGTGGCTTTGCTGTTGGGTGATCAGATGACTAAGGCAGACTCCTTGTCCTGGCACCACGAACTGCACTGCATCCCAAAAGTGGCCAACTGCAGGTCTAACTCCTAGGTGGGGCAATAGATCTCCCACACTGCCTTCCCCTGGAGCACCAGCTCCACACTCCCATTGATTGGAAACACGTCAATGGGAGCTGGGGTGTACGGTGCCCTCATGTGAGAGCAGCGCGCAGAGCTGCTCGCATACCTCTGCCCAGGACTCAGACGTCTACTGGCTGCTTCTGGACATAGGCTGGTCTGAGGTGCCAGCACAGGCAGGGAGCCAGCCTTAGATTCCCCGCTTTTCTTCTGACTGTGAATCGCTGGAGGTGAGCCTGTGCCTGACCTGGCACCCCAGCCCTGACCCCCTCCTGCATCCCAAACCATTCCTGACCCTGCCCTGGAGTCAGAAGGTATGATTTTGTTGCATCATGGGCATCAAACATTTTCTTCAACTGGGTCATGAGGAAAAAAAAGTTTGAAAACCACTGCCATAGTGGACCACAAGGTGAATATGAACAGAGATGTCCTGTCCATAAGTTAGTTTGGGGCACCTGCCCCATGCCCCAAACTTTAGGGGGTTCTGTGGTGTCTGCCTCAACTGGCCTATTGACAGGTCCTGAGTGGCCTGGAGGATTACCGGGGGGCCTGGCATGGGGTGGCAGCCGGGGTCTGGCCCCCTGCCCTCAGTGTGATAGTGGGAGTCAGAGCTACCCAGCAGTCTGTTCTGCCCCGACCTGCCGTCCTCTCCA